AAATTTATCAGATCTATTTTAATTATTCTACTGTAGAAGTCGTTCATTTTATTGTAAGATATTTTTATACAGAGCGCGTCGGAATAATATGTGCAACAAGCGGGGCAGGGGATGATTCGTCGCGAAAGAAAAAAGGAAATATAATAAGAAAAGAATGTAGAATACAATTTTTGGATTTGGGGCTTCGTTTTCGAGGAAAAGTCGAGTTTGAAGATTTCAAATTTGAAGTATATTTGAAATTAATTAATTTTACACGTGACAGACAGGAGTAATTAACAGGTTAGGTGATTCCACGAGCGAAAATAAATAAAGAATGTAGGTTAGAATTTTTTGAACATTTATCAGATACACCAAGGAAATATTCAAAGTTTATTTCCTTGGAAATTTTATATTCTATATTTTTGACTTATTTCTGCAGCTAGATCTGCTAGAATCTTCTGTTATTATTATTTTTTTCTGTTATCAATCAAATTCCAATATGCTCGATGAATTAAGCCTTAAATCGAAGAATTTTATTCTTTCCTGAAGAATCATCCCCTGCTCGCTTGTTTATGTTCTTCTGACGCACGCTGTGTAACGTAAAATTTTGTTCTTTACGCATTTTTTCATATAGACTCACCCCCTAGATTTAGATAGTATGACATTTCTCGCTGTGTAGCATTGATAACAAATCTGAACGCATCTTCAGCGTCAACTAAACGCCGTTTCCACTTCGACGAACTTGCGTTAACTCGATCTTGCTTACAATTATCACTTCCTCGATGTTCTCTCTAGATTCCCATAAAACTACGTTCTACCATTCAAGTTCGAACTTACGGGGCAAAGTCGAAAGAAGGCGCTCGCGCGGATAAATATAATCGTTACAGGTCGCTTTTAATTCCAACTAGTTGTTCGCAACAAGTTTCTCCCGATCAAAGTTCGAATGGCCGTCGCATTCAAAAGCCATTAGACGAGCTTCAGCTTTTCAGCGAAAACGGGGCTGAGACGCGAAAAAGTTTCCGAAATTCCTCGTAACGCGGTTGAGTCGTATCTTGGGCAGCTGTGGTCCCGCGGATTCTTGGCAAAGTGCAACTGGCGAAACCCTCGTGATCCCTCGACGCTGCTGATTGCCCATCGGTATATACTGCGATAACGCGGTTTCTCAGAAGTAGCGCAGGTTTTCGTTATTAGCTGTATTTGGCTTTGGCCAAGGTGGAGAAAAATATCGAGAGAAAGGGCTGCGTATCAGTGGGCAACGGGTCTGGGCTTGGTGGTTGGTGCTCGCTTTATCTCGGTGGAATGCCACTTTATAAAGGACTTCCGCTTTTCTGTTCGGGCTTCCCGCATCTAGGTCGCGATTGTTTTCCTCGCCATGTTGGTCTGCGCGCTGGCCGACCAGAAGTACACGACCAAATACGACAACATCGACTTGGATTCGATCCTGAACAGCGACCGTCTGCTCAACAACTACGTAAACTGCCTGTTGGATGTCGGAAGTTGTACGCCCGACGGCAAGGAGCTTAAGAGTGAGTCTCTTTAATTTCGCTTTAATACGAACGCGTGCGCAACATTCTCCCGCGACGCCTCCCGTTTGCCACCGATTCGTATTTACACGAATGTGACAAACGTTTTTCGTTTCTTTTCACATATCTACCGTTTCTCTCGTTGAGGGAAACAGCGTTTCTTCTCGCGTTATCCCTTTCGAAGCGGCAAACGCCATTGTTCGTTCGCAGGCGAGCTTGCCTGCGAACGAGCAAAGGGAATTTCTAACGAGGGCAAGAGTTCGCCGCGGAAGGGCGCCGGAGGAATCAGGCTAACGGTCCGTCACGCTCGAGATAAAGCTCCGTCGCGTTGGAAACGATTAAGCTCCGGCGTTACCTTCTAAATTCAAGTTTTCGGATGCCATAAACGGAAGGGAACACACTTGTGTTCCAGCGCGTGATACGATGGCGTTGTCTTTTTACGATTCACAAATGTTGTAATGCCGGGTCACAAAGTGCGGAATTGCAAAAAATACCTGTAAAAAAATCTGATCTTTCGCGAGATACACCGTTAGATTCGTCGCTGATTTCTCAAACTGTATCTTCCGAGATCTATTTGACAAGATATGTACTCCTGTACTTAAATCGGACTCCCAACTTTCGTCTGACGATGAAAAGAAAAAAAAAAAAAAAAAATACGTGTCAAATTGTTGATATCACGCTCTTTATAACATGAAGAAAGCACTATTGGATACTACTCTGTGCTTTCATTGCGTAGCTCTGCTAATTCAGTACTAATCACTATGCTACCATATGTATCTTTATATATAAGTCCTTTATTTTAATACACAAAATACATACACGCTTATTACAAATACTAATAAACTATAACATATTCTAAATAAACTCTTTGTACTCTTTATACTCTAAATTCTACACGTGGCTGTTTCTCTGCCCACGTAACACACTTCTTTTTTCAGTTCCTTTGTTCTACTCGAGTCCTTTGTTTGCCGCTGCCTAATATATATTCACAGTTCCAATAGTTAATCTAATAGAACGCACACTCATCCGTGTCCTGTAGTAATTATGATGATAAATAAATTAATATCACAATACTACAAATAAATAATAATACTCCGTAATTAATTTTAGTAGTTTATATAAAAAATATTATCAATGTAACATCAAATAACGAAGATTAAATGACGAAAGTTAAATAACGAATGAATAATTAACACGACGATTGCAGTATATATATAAGTTTTTGTAAATATTTCCATGGTGATAATGAAATTACATAACAATTTTTAAATATTCTATTGTTTATATTAAATACACATCTCGACGGAACGATTTAATATGAACATAGATGTTGATCTCAATTCTTCGAAATAGAATTCGTCGCTACAGCCCCGTCGTAATACAAAATGGACCATGTACCCAACACGAATATTTTTTCAAAAACTACGCCAATTATACGAATGAATTTTCATAAAAAAAAAAAAAAAAATCGGTGATTGACACGTCGCTTCGTTACGTTCCCCTTACCAGCCGTGCAACGTGCAACGAAATAGAACGAAATCAGGCGACCATCTTGCAAGAGGGGAAAAAAAAGGAGAAAAGAGGAGAGATCTTGGTAATATAAATCGCGTCGTATAAATTGCAGCCGAAAGTAGCAGGCAAATGTCTCGGTGTATTTTTCTATTTCGCGGATCTCGGCTTGAATCTAGCCCCCTCCCGCCCCCCCCCCCGCTTGTTTTATCGTTGCAGAGTCTAACGTTTCCCCGTTACTTGGTCTTAGGGGACCTCTTGCCTCGAAATCCAATAAGCAATGTCCTCCACTTCCTATTTCTCCTGGTCGTTCTCGTCCCTCGCTTTTCCTCTCTACTCCCTCGCTGCCGCCAACCGCCGTGTACCACGAGAAACGCGCGAGAACGCCGCCAACTCTTCCTCGTAGAAGGTTCCCTCGTAGGCTTCCCTTTCGTACGTGGCCACCGAACGCCACCACCGCCGGTTGGCCGTCGTTGATGGAAAGTTTGCGGGTCGCGCGCGGTGTAACGCTGTCACATGTCGGACGAGGGTCGCGGTCAAAGTCGGGCAAGTGGGCCGGAAAAGGAAGCGGAATTGCAAGACCGCAGCTTTCGTTCGTTCGAACGTTCAAGAACCTTGGTAACGACCTCGTTCCGCCTTCGTCCTCGGGGACGACGTTGTCCAGACTGTTGCGGTCCCCGTTAGGGTGTTCCCCTTCTGAGGAACCATTCGCACCGAGTGACCAGGCTTTCCTCCGGTTCTTCCGACGCGATCCGGGGTCTGTTGATTCCGCGCGATCGAAGTTTGTGTTTTGAATCGCTTGACATTGTTTCATTTCGTGTAGGAGGCATTTCGAATACACAGTGCGGTGCAACATTGAGTGTATAGAAAATTTTTAAGAGAAATATTTTTTATTGTTAAATAAAGTATAAAAACATGAAAATGAACTTGACCATCTGATTCTTTATGGTTTTAGGAAACTGAAGCTATTTGTTAACTTTTAAGATTGGGTTTCTTCCTGGCTGAGAAAATTGAAAGACATGGAATCAATTTTGCACCAGAATTTTTTCATAGTCAGATTTACAAGCATTATCATACCTTAATATTTTGTCCATGAGCCATAAGTATCCAGATTGACTTTTACGTAATACAAGTCGTGCAAGATGGCGCGGACAAACGATCATAAAAAGAAGAAAACGACGTGAACAGAATTAGCCAAGTCTGGTCTGAAAATATTCTAAAATGTCTAAAATACACAAATACGTTTTATTTTCTATAAAAAAATTCAATTCAAGTAACAAGTTATAATTACTCTTTTCGCATAACGAGCATTCACAGCTAAGAGGTTGAAAGTTTGACTGTGCGTTGACTGCGTCGTGTGCAGATGTTTAAGTACGTTTGCTCACAGAGGAAATGAACGAAAATATGCAGGGATTATAACGTTTATTGTATCAAGTATGAAATATTATATTAATATAATGTCGTATAAAGTACAAAGTGTAAAGTACACCAAAACTTTGAGTTTCGCTGGCGCCCCCGTTAACGAGAACGTTAGATTTCCTCTTGGAAATTAAAATTTTGCAGAGTTGAATAACAAGGTACCCGGAGTCTCTTCTTTTGTCTCTGCATTTATAATGTTCGTTTCCTGAGGTAACCATTTCCAGAGACATGGTTTTGAGGTCTTCAAATTAGACACCTTGCGCAACAAAGTCACGCAAGTGCACGCTGTGATAAGAAAGCAACGATAAAGAAAGAGAGAGAGAGAGAGAGAGAGAGAGAGAGAAAGCAGATACAAAGAAACGATGTATAAACACGCTTTTTCTTGGTCCTCTTAAAGCAACCGAGACGACGAAGGACTCGTTACATCGCTTAGGACGTCGATAGAAGCTTTCGAGAGACGTTGAACATTTTTCCAGCTTTGTGTCGTTCGACTTTTGAGTCACGTTCCTTGGAGAATTAGGTACGAAAGAAAAACGTTAGGTTGGCAGGGGTATGATTCGTCGCACGAATCTCTTCCTCCTTTCACGCACTTTCTACGGCTTTTACTTTTTACTTCTCTTTACGAAATGTAATAATGATCGAAATATATACATATACGTCACACTTAAAAGTATTTCCGGCAAATTGTTGTATCTGTTTCAAGAAAATTGAGAAATTGAATAATAATTTATAGAAAAGAGAATGTATTAAATACATGTGAAATCTAACGTTAGATCATTAAATTATATATTCAACAGACTGTATCGGCTTCGTGAGTTTCTGTGAAAAAAAATTTTGCGCGAGAGATTTATCCCTTTATCTAAACATGACGTGGCATTCGAAACATATTTGACATCAGCCGTCGTTACTAATTTTCATTCCATATTTATTGGGTTTATTGAGAATATGCAGTGAAGAGTATCATTGTAAAAATAGCGGTAAAAAATTATAAATAATTTAAACTTGATATAACTTTGTAAAAAAAAGATGATATAATGATCTTAGTCTCATTTTAAAGAGCGAAGCTTTTATTTTGATTTTACGTCACGCAGCGAGTGAAATTTAGGACAATGTTTTTTCTCGAAAATTGTCAAAAATCAAACTGTGTGTGTAAAAATATTAAAAATTTCTTCTTGTGACTTGATCCACCAATCATTTTGAAGATCGAAGTTTCACTTTTATAAAACTTTCTACAATTTTCTTTTTATTGTTTTTTCTATTGAAAAAATTTATTTTTTTTGAAAATCCCAACATTTTTTTTATATAACTCTAATGTTCCAAGTTCAATAAAATGATGAAAAAAAAAATTCGCACAGTGAATTCCAAAAGTTTGTTGCAAAGAAAAAATTTCAGTCTTCAAAACCATGGTAGAGTATTAGTCGTAAGAAAAATTTTTTAACGTTTCTACGTTTTTGAATTTTGACAGTTTTCGAGAAAACTGTGTCCTCAGCTCTTCCCATTTGCTACTTGATGTAAAATCATTTTCGAAAAGAACAAATTCACGACTGTCAAAGTACAAGTATCGCGGTTTAAAACGAGGCCAAGTGGATCGTTATGACATGATCTTTTCTTTACAAAGTTACACGAGTTTACAAAAAATGATTAACAATTTTTCATTGTCATTGATACAGTTATACTCTTCACTGTACATCCTTGAGGCATTTGTTTCGTAGCAAACAAACACGATCGTCATTCTGACAACAGATCAATCGATCAAAAATTTGATCACCTAGAGCAAAATAATTTAAATGAGACATTTCACGAAGCAAGAATTCGAGGAAAACAGTATAATGCGATTGAACAAAGGGCATAATCACGTGTCTCAATCCGTTGATGATCGATCTAACTTGACCGAGTCGATCCAACCGCAAGCCTCTGTTTTTCGAGCTCGTTTCGCATAAACAAATACGATTGTCATTCTGACAATAGATCAGTGGCTCGACAGATCAAAAATTTGATCACCAAGAGCAAAATAATTTAAATAATGCGATTGAAAA